ACCTCTACTAACGAACGCGACACAAGCGGCTTTGCGCTTATTTACGTAGGCAGCATCGAATCCGCAACTTTGCACCTAATTAATCGAATGTCGTGGCGGGGAACGGAAAGGTCGATTGATTTCGAAGTGCAAGGAAGTGTAACGAGTGAATTTATAATCTGAAATCGAGTGGAGACGAATGAATTGAAATAGAAATAGTGGTATATATATATATATATATATTGTTATTCTTCCTCCTTTTGTAATAATTATTTTTCTCTACTGATTAACTACATTTTGGTAAATTGAAATAAAGTTATAAAAGATATTTTGAATTAATAAATATAAATGGAAATTATGAAAAAGAAAAGGGGATTGGATACGAATGTTGGTAAATTTCCAAAGAATTTCCATATTGTTGAAACATAGGAGGAATAATATCTAAAGATTAGAAGGGACGTTAAATCTTAACAATACGTCGTAAGTCAAACAGGAATTCACATTGTTCGAACGTATGGAATCGAAAGACGTGAGAAGTTACGTTCAAAGTTGCAAAGCACAGAAATGATAATAAACTCTATTCGAGTGAACATACCTCTGTTATTTTTACATTCGATATACACTTGTCTTTTTTCCCATCAAATATTCATCGCTCGTTTCTTACGTCTATTCCTTTCATCGGCAACAAAATGCTAAATTAAAATATCAATGAACAACATTATGTATTTACACTCGTGCCAAGCCTCGCACGAGATTCCAGCGAATAGGTTCTCTGCATACCTTCCACGTATCCAATTCCAACCTCGAGGCAGGTAGATTACGGGGCGTTCTTAATCCATTCAATTACACGGAAATGCCTAGCCGGTATCAAGGATACGTGCGTTTATATCCCTCCACGGGCTGACGTGCCGACAGGTATCTCCCAGCGTGGAAAAGAATTCCAACCGGTTGATAGGCTGCGGGGACGTGATTAATGCGGGCGAGATAAGAAGCGGAGGCCTTCCACTTCCGGCCACCAGCCACCAGGGACGCCACCAGCGCCAACAACGGCCAATGATCAAGTTACGGAACGTGGACTAATGAAATCATCAAATTTATCTCCCTTTTCCTGTATCGGGCAAATAACACCATGATCTCAGACCGAGGATCAGACTCGGGGACTCGTATTACGCGGGAGCACCGAATGAAATGAAACTCCACGCCCGATGTATGGGGATTTACGTTAGCTACAACATCTTTGTCGTTGAATTCCATCTCTTGCAAACTCCTTTCCTTGATGAAAGTTTGGTTTCGCCGTTGATTTATTTTTATATAACGAGAAAACGAATGAGTGGATGTAATTTTTTTGTATACAAGTAATATTTCTTTTAATTTTATTGCAGGGTTGCAGGGTTAATGGAGGTATATATCTTATATTGGAATAAGAATTGAGACCGAATTTTTGTTCGAACAATCGAAATAAATTTTAATCCTTGGAATTTTTTAAACTCCAGATGGATTAATTATTATCTTTGATATTTTATAATTTCGTTCAGAAAAAGAAGAAGAAGAAGAAGAAGAAGAAGAAGAAGAAGAAGAAGAAGAAGAAATGAAGATATTCGTAATTCGTCTCGCCACTTGAACAAAAGCAATTTAACGGTCTAAGCACGTACAATGGAATTTTTAATTTAACGGGTAATTATTGCAGCGATTTTCATCTTCTTTAATTAATAAATCCTGTTCCAAGGTTATTCACAGAGATTCGCATAAGTGTAGGAGAGGATGCCGAACGATCGCCAAGTAACATTATTACTTACACGTACATATGTAATTGGTATCCGGTTAGAAGAGTATTTCTGCATTAGTTATAACGAGTAGCCAACTAATGCCAAGCGTGGCACGCATTCACGAAGCACAAAGCAGACAGGTAAAGCTGCCGCGCGTTTGTTTCAACCACTGTATTGCGGTCGGTTGGTATCCGCTCACTTCGACCTTTAAAACTTTGCATCGGTAAGACATCAAAGGCCTCTGTTACACTCGTTGCTATTGACACTGTGTACCCGTTTTCCCGCTGTATAAAGGTGAAATTGTGTAATTGCATTCTTCGCGAAAACAAGAGTTTCGTGAAGAAACGAGGTAAATTAACTTAGCCAGTGTTTAAACGCTTTTAACGTGCTTTTATTGGCTTCGTAGAAATTTCATTCAAACAAACACCGTTTCTCAATTGTTTCTGAATACAAGGATCCTTGTTTCTTAAAAATGATTCCAATATTATGTTAGACAGACAAATCAGGATCACAAGAAGAATACGTTATTCAATTTATTATATTTATATTATCGAATCATCGATACTTTTTTTCAATAAAATTTGAAAATATTTGCGAAGCAGGAATTCGTTTAAATTAAATTAAACGGAAAAGAAAAAAATGTTATGCGTGACCTCGTTATTTTTAGAATTTACAGTCTGGAATTAACTAGAAAATCTCGTTACTCGTGGAGTTGATGGCTGGAAGATTCGCAAAACGCAGCTCGAATTTATTTCGTCCCATCCGTGTAAATTCGCCGGTGATGAACGATAAATGTCGGCACGCAGTTTGAAACATGTTCAAAAGAAACATACGCGTAAACGCGCGTCAACTGCAACTATGAAAACAAGATCAATCAACCTCGCTCTAAATTGTCAAGAATGTTGGCAAAAATCGAAGGTAATAAAGAAAAACGAGAAGAAATTTTTATTGCTTAAAATTATAATAATAAAATCTCGATATCAATGTTAAAATCTTTCAAGCATACTTTAATTTTCATGTAAGATTAATTTTCAAGTTATTTTCAGCTCTTTAGAAAGTATTTTTTATGGATTATCTACGAGTAGATTTAATTTATTTTTCCTGATAAAGAAGACACGAAGAAAAGATAAAACGTAATAAAAAAATATAACGAAGAAAAATATAGATACAGATATATATCCAATAAAAAAAAGAAAGAGAATTTTCAAGTTTTACGTACAATTTAAAAATGCTGGACCCGAGTTTAATTCAAGAAAATACAAAAAATAAATTATATTGAATATATAAAAATTATTTAGGAAGAGAAATTCGGTATAAGATCAATAAGGATCTGCTCGTTTGGTATTTTAACAGAATCGATTAGCGAGAGGATATCGACGTAACGAATCGTTTTCACGGCAAATGTGTATAAATGTTTAACAGCGACCTCGTATTTCCAGTTTTCTCGTAAGCAGAGCCGACGAGACCGAGGTAACGATAAATTACCTTTTAAGCAACAGCGATAACAAGTGGATGCGGTACGTGTTCCTTCTGTTATCTGAACCGTATTAGAAAAATAGATTTCCGTTTCCCCAAGAAACGGGGCAATAAAACGTGGAAAGCTGGCAATCGTGGATAGATTAATAGCTTATACGAAAAGTTATCGTCGACTGATTGTACCGCGGCGTTGAAGACGGGCTGTAAATGAAACGACAGTGTCAGCTCGGTGTATCTTCGCGACCCTCATATATTCAACGATAAAAATATCTCCGCGCGATTTTTTACAATCGCTCGACTAATCGAAGAGTGTCTTTCAGATAGGATGGAAAATGAATAAGGAAGAACGATGTCTAAAATCAAATATAATGCTTCAGAACGAATTGAAACTTTTAATAAAATGGTATATTTAGAGAGTCATATTTTATATATCTTCTGTAGAATAAATGTAAGAGAATATGATATAGAACAAAGAAAAATAATTATTTAATAATCATAATTGTTATTTTACAGAGAATTAATTTTCATTTGATGATTCATTTCTTAAAATATCTTGCATTCTAATCTACTTGTATTCAATTACCACCACTACAGCAGTCAAGAATTAACGCAAGCTCCCTGCTCAATATGTTCAATATCTCCAAAGATGTTTCGTGTGCTCGAGATCATCGTGTCACTACTAGTAAAAAGAATACTCTCCCGTGTAAATTTAGCCCAACATCCTGCCCAACCGAGTAAGTGATCCTGTCTTTGGAAAAAAACTTTCTACAAAAAAAAAAAAAAAAAAAAA